GCATCTATAGCTTCTTTTTTAGGCCCGACATCCACCTCTTCAGTGTTGCCTTGGGGTGCGAGTTTAAAATAACCAAGGGGAGGGTTAGTGGAGGAAAAATTATAAAAGCATCATAAAATACAAGTTAAGGCAATGGCGGATACCTATTAGAAGAAGCTGGTTCTTCTAGTGGATCATCTTCTTCTAGTTCTCGAGCTCATTTGGCTTAGGGTAGGATATGATGGAGAGTTGCTCCTAGAGATGATCATAGGACTCCCTGATGTCCCCTCCATACTTCTTGGACCACTTAACTTCCCACCAAGTGAAGAATGAAGAAGTGCACTCAAAGTTGAGGGTCACAGGTTTGCGGGTAACTCAGCACCTCTAGGCTACACCGAGCTGCCCGAAATATGACCTCCTGAGGAGAACGAATGCAGTAGAGGTTTCGCAGTGCACAAAGTCAAATAAAGACACTGGAATGACTTGTCTAAACCACAGCTGTCTACCACAGAAGTTGGGGTGGTAAACCTCCAGGCCAGGATGGTAGCCCGTGCGGTCACTCCGCACTCCTTAAGCCAAGTCTCGTTGCTGGATACAACTCACAAACTTCTCATTGCATAAGCTATTTGCGTCTTCTCCAAAAGCATCCTGGAAAATTTGGTGAGAGATGCCTCGGCCAAGATACTGGCAGGAGCCACTTCTTCGGGGAACTCCAAGTTTGGCACCTGAAGTTCAGGGAAATACCATTGCAACCACAACTGGACCATCCAGGTTGGCCCATTGAGGTTAGTCTCAAAGGGCTCACCCTTGGTCATCTCATACAAGAGATGGTAGAGGTAGGCAAAGAGGAAGAGCCTCGTGGCCACATCGTCGAATGAGTGCAGTGCCTCCACTAAGAGAATCCACTCTAATTTCACTCCTTTGGATTTGTTGGGAAACACATGTTTGTTGAACCAGTACAAGAGGAAGTACATGTGCTCTTGGTCCCCAATTACTGTGGCAGAAGGCCGGCTAAAGGTGCTCTTGGTAAACGAGATAAAGCCCGTGAATGAGGTTTCATAGCTCTTGAAGGTCGAATGAGTGTACTCCAATTGAATAATGAAATCAGAGTCGCCCGAACCTTCAGCAGTCGGGCAGGAGGGGGAAGACCAGTCGTGGGTCGCATCCACACACTGGCCCGATGGCTTTAGCTCAAAGACTTGGGCCATATCAAGGACGATTAGAGACATAGGACCCATCATAAAATCGAATGTGTTGGTCTCATTGTTCCAAAATATGAGAGTTGTGGTTAGGAGCATGGGCTTGGCAATCACCGTGGTCTTGGAAAGCATTATAAGCTCGTAGATGCCATTGCTCATCCATTTCTTCTTCTAGATGGGCTTAAGCTCGTCCACCCACTGTGACCAGGCTTCATCCTTCATCAAGTGGAAGCTTCGATGATGAGTTGACCACTTGGAGGAGAAAATGCCAGCCTCGGCAGAATATAGGTTTGGGGTGAACCAATTGGCCTTAGGCATATTGTTATCCACAACAATTGGGACCCTGGAGGTCCAGGCATGCCCGAGGGACTGTACCCTTCCTTCTTCGAAGAAAATTGAGGTATTCAAGCTTGCCCGAAGGCGATGAAGGCCATTGAGTAGGCAGCGTATGTTGACAATCCCCTCGCCGGACTCACATAAGGGACGAACTATTTTGGGTGCCATTGATCAGTTTTTTGGAAAGAGAGTGAAAGAAAATCGAGAGTGGAAGGCAAAGAAGAGCTACGAAGGCAAGTGAGAATTCTAGAAACTTAGAGAATAAGAATTATTGAGGTAGTTAACCAAGAGGTTTAAGTGAATATAGTAAGCAGTTAGTTAAAGTTGGAAATCATGGGTTAGTGCAAAGGTTTACTCGAAAACAGCTGATTAAGTGCTGCAAGTCCCAAGTAAAAGCATGCGGCGGTAGTTTAATCATTATTAATGTCCTAGATTGCAGACTTAACAGTGATTAAGGGGGCATTGTTTGGATTAATATTTGAATATTGGGCTTTGCATAAGGAAAAGCCCAAGGGCGTCAAAACAAATTGAAGTTATCTGAAACCCAACATCGAAGCCCAGAGACAAACCCTTCTCAGCCAAATTATAGGCCATGTGCCTATGACCATAGTGACAACTGACAGAGACCAGCTCACTACCATCCAAAAAGCACTTTATAATGGCATAAAGGTGTAATTACGTGATGACTCATTGCCCTTGCGAGCCCTCAGCCAAGAAGAAAGCCCATACAGTCGGGCTAAATCGCCTATAAAATGAGGAAGGAACAACAGAGACAAGGACATTCAACCAATCAAACAAACAACATACAAACTCTGCTCTCAAGCCAGATTTGCATCTAGAAAATTGAAACCAACCCAGATTCAGTCCTTTTAGTAATAGTTTCCTTTTATAAGCTATCTTTTTTCTAGTGTAAAAGTTCTGATATCCTCCCTAGTGTTGTAGTATTGATTCCCTCATGTAAAACCTATTTACCATCCATCCTTTTTTAGCGTACAACCTCTATAAACACAAAGAGAAGTGGCTGCAAGAAGTTCAACCTTACCCGACAAGGTGAAATCTTGCCCGAGTCTCTTTGTTTGTACTTTAGCTTAATAGATCTATCGTCTAAATGTACTTTTCAGCTTGTATTCAAAAGTTATTTCCATCTGTTTTCCACCTAAGAGTCCCATTTGCATCAAGATCTGGTTAACTTAATAAACATGCTTTCATTAATAACGAACTAGATTTGAGGAAATGGTCTAAAATGGCTATGAACTCCCTTCATTTCGAACATACAAGATTATGAACTAAAAGTCTTTGTTTACATGGCAAGAAAAAGAATTTAATGCAGACTTAACCCATATGTGACAATCCTTTGATAAAAAGAAGTTTGAGTAACTTGGGGCACAAGTAATCACTCAAATCACATATATTTCAACATCTGTTATACAGAGATAACAGTAGCACGTCTAGCACTTCGTTAGTTTTGATTGTGAGTCTCAAGGCCTACACCTAAGGCCCCACAAAGACACCTTTCAAACTAACTGTGAACTCTCTTTGCAGCACACTAAACAGCAAGAGCCCAACGATCACACCCAAAGTGCCATTCACCCTTGGGGAGCTGTGTGAGGGGCCATCCTCCTTTGCCTCGAACAACTTCTAAACAAACAAATATAATTAACTAAATTTGACGTGCAAATATTTTCGTTAAATATAATCTCCATTATATTCTCTCCTAAAAGGTAAGGTAGAGGATAAAGACTGTTCAACCTCAGCTAATTGTTATGATACGGGAGAATCACGAACGGCTCCATATTTATGTATTAAAAGGAAGATTCCATGCATGCATGCAGCGGTAAACAACTAAACAAGAGAGAATACATGCAGTGGTTACGGAAAGTGAGGTTATAATTGAGATTAGTGGGTAGGTTGAAGGGGAATCAAATGGAAGAAAATGAAGATCATGGAACAGATAATGGGTGTAGTTAGCAGACAATGTGAGCCCGTGGGTGGCTGCATGTTGTGTTTCTGTGAGCTGTTCGTGATGCTTCTCACTAATCCATACATACATACATACACGTGTGTGTGTGTGTGTGTGTGTGTAACGTTCGTTGTTGGTGGTGTTGTTGGAGGTGGAAGAAAGGGCATATGCATATGTCCTATATAAATAAAACCCTAAAAGCAATTCATGCGGGGACACTCATGATTGGAACCCTTATCACCGCCCCATATCATGGCTTAAATTCAACAGCAATAAGGGATTTGATCGTGTCCCACATTGAACATTTTACAATATGCCAATGGACATGCATGATTGAACTTTGTGTGTATTGTAGACGACTCCTACCCTAATTAAGTTCAATTTGTCACTTTAATTAAACACAATGGCCTTCTGTAGCCTAATTTTGCATGCTTTTTGTGAAAGAAGTTGCGTGTGATTTGTGCGTAATTCTTTTGAATGGAATTTTAATGTTTGAATTATCAATACATAACTTTTTGTAAATCATGTCAGGTAAAGACACATATAGAACTTTTGTAATAAGGAAGGACTTAGTTGGTGGCACATCAAAAGTGTTTCAATTCAAACTGCAAATTGATTCATCTTCTTCAAGTGTCAAATCGCAACATAGCCTATAAGTCAGACTGCCAACATAATTTAAATTTTATTATATTAGCAGCAAATTGCGTTCGGCTTGCAAAGTAGTGTGTCAATTTCTTTGTGCTCAAGTTCAAATTATTTTCCTTATAACTTAGACTAGCGATTAGTATCGCCTTCTACACACAGAGAGAGAGAAAATTAGCCCCCCTTGATTGAAACAAGAGGAATAGTCAAGAGTTTAAAAAAGCTTGATTGGGAGGATTTGGGACAAGGAGGCGCTTTCCTTTTCTCCTTTTGGAATGCTTAAGTGGGTGCAACGTTTGGAAATCATTTGGACAGGCCAGTGTTCTTTGGGGACAAAGAAACTTTTTAAAATTTAAAATTTAAAGAACAAGAATATCATTGTTAGAGATTTTATTCGACCAAAAATATTGTATGTTATCTTTGGCGCTAAGTTGGTGGGTCTATTGTATTTGGGTAGGAGTGGGCGCGGTTTGGTTTGGTGCGGTTTTGAGTGAAACCAAAACCAAAACCGCAAGTTTTTGCGGTTTGGTTCGGTGCGGTTTTGAGGCTAAAACCGAAATGAAACCAAACCATTTGGTTCGGTTCGGTTTGGTTTCAAACGGTTTCGGTTTGGTTTCATTGTTCGAAAAAAAGATTGTGGGTTTTATAATTATGTGAATATTACGTGTCCAGCAGCAAAGTGAGGATGGTGTAATGAGACAACATTTATGGACTAGTAGAGTACAAACAATCTGTGCTCAGTGTGCTGCTAAAACTAAAAGTGAACAACTGTGGCCGAAGGCAGGGCCTTTCCATTTTGTTGTGTCATATAAACCCACAGCCTTTTACTCTACACCAAATTTTGCCTCAGTTGCAACCCGCTTTCCCTTGCATTACATTGCATGTACCAATAAAAAACTATCATAGTTACCTAGTTGATGACAACAAAATTCACATCCTAAGGACCACAACAAAATAATTCAACTTGAGGCAACCAAGTTAATAAATTCATGTTCACAAATCCAAAATACAAGTGCAGTTTGAAGAGCACTTTTTGGCTTACTAAGCCAAAGCCTTCCCATAGAAAGTCAGATTGTAATTGTAGATGAGATTGTCAAGGACTTGCCCAACAACCGGTATGTTTAATGACTTCCTTGCCTCACTGCATCACAAATTCACGATTGGCGTGACGTAAGTTTAGGGTCTAATACCATCACAAAATACAAATTCACATTACCTAGTTGATGACAATAGAATTCATACCACAACAAAATAATTTAACTTGATGACAATGTTAAAATTTAACTTGAAATAAAGCATTAAAAATCAAAAGCATAGCATTATAACTTTTTTGAACCACGAATTCTTCAAACTAAAGCTCAACCAAAAAGAATTAACTATCATAAACCCTATATGGAAAAGGGTTCGCTAATGCAGTAAGCACTGCTAGCCATCCACTAGCATACTTTTTTGGATTTGAATGTATGAAGAATATGGGGCCAACCTCCTTGATCTTTATCAATGTACCCAACAAAGCCAGAGAGCCAAGCCATGGCGTCTCTCTCACCTCCGGTAGTCACCACCCCCACCGTTCCCAACCCTGCCACAAAACCTCTCTCCCCCTTCTCTCAAAACTAAATTAATGTATGCACGCACGCAGCACAATTGCACATTAAATTTTTTGTGTAAAAATTTACTGAAATTAATAAATTATACTGGGCAGATTCGGCAGAAATGGGAACCTATCTACCCATTATTCCCATGTCACCAATATGCAAATGCATGCTTTCAATTGACATTCTAATGTTCATGAACGAAGAAAAATCAAATACTAACCAACGAAAAACCAAATCCCCTTTTGATTCAAAACCCAACCCTAAACCTAACCCTAAAATTAATCTCAAATCTATAAGTAAATTTAACTAAAACAAGTTATAAATCATAGTTCTTACCATATTAGCACTTTGAAATTTAAAAAGCTAGGAGCTGGAAAGCCTGGAATGAAGAGGAAAGGAGGCCAGAGGAGAGACCGAGAGAGAGAGAGCGTCTGAGTGCAGCAGGGTTCCAGAGTGGAGACCGAGAGAGATGAAAAAAAAGAGCAGAGTCTACGCACGGACTAGAAGAAAGAAAATAAAGGGTTATGTAACTTATGTTATGATGTGGTTGAGTCCATACTAAATGTATGGACTCAATGAAAATAACCAATAGAATTTAAGATTTAAAAAAGGTATGCGGTTTCGGTTTCGGTTTGGTTTCGGAGGGTCGAAACCGAAACCAAACCGTTTTTACCCTATTCGGTTCGGTTTCAAACCGAAACCGTTTTGAAACCGCAAAACCAAACCGTTCGGTGCGGTTCGATTTGGTTCGTGTTTCGGTTGCGGTTTTCGGTTTCAAGTGCCCACCCCTATATTTGGGCACACTCGTGAAGGAAGAAGGATAGGTTACGTTTAAGAAAAATGGGTTTATGGTTTGGTGGTATGATTTGTTTGCCCTCTCAATATTCTGCCAAATAGTCAAGAGAGGTGGGCTTACTTAACAAACATGCGCGGGACAATAACTTGTGAAAACTGAGCTTTTTTTTTTTTTTTTTTTTTTTTTTGAAAGAAACACGATATTTTATAGAAAGAACCAACACACTACAAAAGATCCTGGTTGAGAAAGTCCTGAACGAAATCAGGAGGATCCTCTAACCATACAAATTCATTACCAATTGAATGGAACTTAGCTAATTTATGGGCAACTCCATTACATGTTCTTGGCACGTGCACAAATTGGACCGGGGAAACCAATTCCGCCACTAACCTGACATCCTCTGCTAACAAACCAACCTTGGACAAATCCTGAGAGTAGTTTTTAATAGCAGCAATAGCGAGCACAGAGTCACCCTCCACAATAACCCGTGTAATCTTTGCTGAGCTTATTTTTTAAATAAGCAGACGCCGTCACTCACCCTTCGACCCTAACTCACGAACCCTCTCACCCGGAGAGACTTTTGTGAAAACTAAGCTTATTAATTTGTTAAATATTGGCTCTGCTACAATTATCGAATGAATGTGTTTGTAAATTACACTAAGTTGCAAATGCGAAACAAGCAGTGTGGTTGCGGAAAACTCTTTGGATTAGTCTGTCTGTTGTCACAAAGGGTATCACATTCATAACAAGATGGTACCAGGTGTCCCCTAGATAATATGTTTGTTATAAAAAAAAAAAATTTTAAAAAAGGCAATATAAAGTTTTTCGTACCCTCTATGGAGTATCGGAACTACAGTGAAACTTCCATATGGGCTAAATGTAGAAGCCGCATAGGGCTTGGACTTGACCTTACATTTGTTTTGAGCAAGGCTGTCGTAGAGGCAACATACTCACAAACGAGATGGGACCCGAAGGTGGGGGGACACCTTACATCTCCTCTCCAGTTTGCAAATAGAAGACGTTACAGCGGAGCTGGCAGAGAAGGGTGTTGCCGTGGAAGTTACAGATGCGGCATTGTATTACACTCTAGATGAGAGTTATGGTCGTGTGAGTATCGATTTTTCAGTCAAGTTTTATTTTAGACATGATGATTGGTAATTCGTTAGTATACGTGTATATGTGAGACAGATTTAGCACTTTGCTTCCTAACAATGCACGCTTTATTTGCTGCTAAATAGTTTGAGTTGATATTCCAATCTGATTCTACAGTTGATATATAAACAATGAGGTCTGTCTGCAGAGTTTTTGCATCTCTCTCTCTTACGCGTGCCCGCGAACACAGAGAAACAACCACATTGTTAGAACAGCTGAACAAACACTAGAATTTAGAAGAAAGTATACCCCAATATGTAAAAGCTTGCAAGCTATCAACTCCGATGGTTCACTGCAATGACAGCTTTGCTAGGGTCAATGCTAATACCCTGACCCCGTTAGATATATCCTGAATGGATGCATATTCTTCAGGCTTATGGCTGTAACCTGCAAACCAAATCCAAATGGACGCAATAACTTAATAGCATTCTCTACTCATTCGATCTAGCATTCTCTACATGTCTAGCAACTGATTCATTCTTTTGTTCAACTATGTGAGTGAATGTCATCCAATGTTTCTAATTACGAATATCTTTGCGTTATAGTTGTGCTTTGGCACACGCAAAATGTGTGGCAGCTGACATGCTTTTGCAATAAACTAGATTCTCAGTCTGACTCAAATTATTAATTTCAGTACTACTACAGTTATTTAAGATGGTGGTTTCTAGAAGAAGAGAAAGGAGATTCTACCTTTGTAACATGGAATGAATATCATACCCATCGGAGAAACCCTGCAAGGATATGAAAATACATTAGTAGAACCTATTTGTGGTGAAAAGAATAACGGCATGCTGTTCACCATCTGAATTTCCTCAAATTTAGTTGAATTAGCAGCCTAAGTAGCCACTTGGTGGAGTACGAAAAAGCACATACTAAAAGAAATGAAATACGGAGAATGCATTGTATGAGGATGTATATGAAATACAGCAAATCTCAAATCTTGCTATAGACTTTAGATATACAGGGAATCCTTTCTTATAGGGATAAGGTTTTCTCTATCTTACCTGGCCATGAACAATGAATCGTGGTAAGCTCGGCTAATCATGAACTTGTACGTTAAGTTTAGCTCTTTCGATGAAGCTTCCATTGCCTCAATTATTGATTTATCAGAGATTGCTGGCGGATCCTGATTTATGATTTTGAACTCTGATAGACTGACCCCACGTTTACTTGCTATAGCAATTGCAGATCGATGAATTTTCTCAATTACAATGTTTCTTCGCTCTTCATCAATATCTCTTGTGTCTACAAAATGAAATGGTATTACATGGTATCAAAAAATAAAACCAAATTTTTCTTCGATATATACTAAAAATCCCAAAGACTGGTATCCATTTGGCTCAATTTATGACCGAGAAAGGATATACAATGGTCTTTTCAAACTTCAGTAAAATTGTATATTGTGCTTGAAAATTTAATGACAGAAAGCATACCAATTTCCAGATGCGATTTACTTGGGATGCTGTTAATGGCTCCAGGATGTAGCTCCAGAATACCTTTGTATAAAATGATTATTAATATATACCACAGACATGAAATAAGAACAGCCAACATAAGAGACTTGGAACACATTGAGAAATTTTAAAGAAGGTCAAAGAATTAATCCACAGTCCTGCACGTAGGTGTGAAGGAAACACAACTTACCAACTGTACCGACAGTATCAACAGACCCAGATTCCAATACGTGTTTCTCAACAGCTAGTGCTAATTCTGCAGCTGCTAGTCCAGCATCATTTCTGGTATAAATAATTAATGGAAACAATTATGAGGCATGTTTACTTGAATATAACTCAACAGCCTTTAACACAAAATACTTATTTTAGCTGCATGAGTCAGTTTTCAAAAGTTATTAGGAAATATCACACGGAATTTGCAGGTGGGATAAGGGGAAGGGAACAGTTGCGCATAACCCTAGAACTCAACAGGAAAGGTGTTGAAACTCCATTTTACAGTTTGCAAACAACTCACCTATTTGGCATTAGGACAGCACCGGCATGGCCTCCATTGCCTTCAAACTCCACTTTTATACTTGCTGGGGCTGCAATGGCAGTTACAATACCAATTGATATACCTGGATCACAAAACATACTGCTTCAACACATACACTATTATGCATAATGTTGGGAACATGTATGTTGGAAATGATCTACCTTCCTCCTCCAAAATGGGGCCTTGCTCAATATGCAATTCCACAAAACCAGAGTAGCTTTCTTTTTTTAAGAACACACTCAATAAAGCATCTTCATGTTTAGTGTAGCCAGCAGATCCTGCAGCATCTAAGAAGGATACATTTTGACCATCAACTGTTGTCTTCAGAGCATTAGCCAGGGCCTCAATCCCT